CCGATCCCAAAGCTGTAGGGCCGCGCAGGGCATGAGCTCAGCGCTTTTTGGGGCCGCCAGGGGCGGATCGCGTGTCCCGGTCCTTATCGGGCCCCGGGGGGGGCCCCGCCCCGGCCCCGCGGGGGCCCCAAAAGGCGCGCGGGGCATTTCCCTCCTCAAATCCCAAAAATCCTACAAAGATCAGAAAGGGGTTTGTGCCCCCCGAGCGCTGGGTTTAGGGGAGAAGGGGTTGGGATCCCTAAATGGGGTTAGGGGAGCTGGGAATGTGGGGTTTTTGGAAAGGGATCCCATGAATTCCTTGTTTATTATAGGAAAGAGGATCCCATAAATGCTTTATTATAGGAAAGGAGATCCCATAAATGCTTTGTTTATTATAGGAAAGGGGATCCCATAAATGCTTTATTATAGGAAAAAGGATCCCATAAATGCTTTATTATAAGAAAAGGGATCCCATAAATGCTTTATTATAGGAAAAGAGAATCCCATAAATGCCCTATTATAGGAAAAGGGAATCCCATAAATCCTTTATTATAAAAAAAAGGATCCCATAAATACCTTCTTTATGATAGGTTCTCCTGGAAAATGGGAACCCCGTGAATTGTTTATTTTAGGGTTTTCTGGAAAAGGTGATCTCATAAATCATTTATTTATTGTAAGGTCTCCTGGGAAAAAAAAGGGTTCCACCCCATATTTATTGTAGGATCTCTGGAAAAGAGGTGCCAATCCCTCTATTTATTGTAGGATTTTGGGAAAAGGGTTCCACAAACCACTTTGTTTATTGTAGGATCTCCTGAAAAAGGGGCTCCCACCCCAAATTTATTGTAGGATTTCTGGAAAACTGCTTTATTTATTGTAGCATCTCCTGAAAAAGGTGTTCCCACCCCACACAAACCAATCCCAACTCCACTTTATTCCTTAATTCAACACCCCTGGTGAACACTGACCCCACAAAAAACCGGCACTTGGGGTGATCCCATATCCCAATACCCCTAAATCCCAATACCCTGACACCCCAATATCCCAAAATCCCGGGATTTCAGGCACTGGGAACGCTTTTCAATGATGATTTTTTGTCATCCTGGGCGGTGCCCGGAGTCCGGACACTCCCATATCCCAATACCCCAAATCCCAAAATCCCAAATCCCAACACCCCAAAATCCCAGGATTTCAGGCACTGGGAATGCTTTGTTTGATGACAATATTTTGCAGAGGGCTCGGGGTCTGGTCGCTCCCATACCCCAACACCCCAAAACCCTGATATCCCAATATCCCAAAATCCCAAACCCCAATCTTTAGGAAGCAGACACACTGTTTGATGACGATTTTGTGTCATTTTTGGTGGGGTCTCCTCAACAAAACCATTGCTCCCATCTACCCCAAATCCCGATATCCCAAAATCCCATATCCCATATCCCCAATCCCCACACCCCAACCTTTATGAGGCGGGCACGCTCTGTTTGATGACGATTTTCTGGCGGCCGGGCCGCGGTCCCGGGCTGTCGGTGCCCGTGGCCATGGCGGCAGCGGCGGCGCTGGGCAGCCCATGGGCAGTGATGTATTTGCGGATGATCCCAAATCCCATATCCCAATATCCCAAATCCCAAGATCCCAGTTTCCTGACACCCCAATATCCCCAAATCCCGGATTTCAGGCACTGGGCACGCTCTGTTTGATGACGATTTGATATCATTTTTGGTGGGGTCTCCTCAACAAAATCATCACTCCCATCCACCCCAAAATCCTGATATCCCAAATCCCACACCCCAACCTTTAGGAAGCGGGCACGCTCTGTTTGATGACGATTTTCTGGCGGCCGGGCTGGGCAGCCCGTCGGCAGTGACATATTTGCGGATGATCCCAATATCCCATATCCCAAATCCCAAATCCCACACCCCAACCTTTATGAGGCGGGCACGCTCTGTTTGATGACGATTTTCTGGCGGCCGGGCCGCGGTCCCGGGCTGTCGGTGCCGGTGGCCATGGCG